ACAAACCCCACTCCAGTCTCCAGATTTGTTGACATAGAAAACTGAATGTGTGGCCGCCTAGAGTCGGAAGCCCAATCCGGGCATTGTTGACTGCAGTCTGCCCTGGCCTCCCACGCCCACCGCCAGCCACCACACACACACCTGAGAAGAGAACCTTCCTTTGGGCGGCCACAGGCACAGGTCACACTCACTGCTGAGGGTGGACATGTTTCATGTGATAACGTGGCCCAATGGCACAGTTGATAAAATAACCAGTGTGTCCGGCAAGCAGAGAACTCACTGTGGTGGTTGTGGCAGGTCCTGCCCTAGCCACTGGGCCATCCGGACTCTGAGCTACGCGTGCCTGGTGGGAACAACCCACCCAGCGGGAAGTCCCTCTCTCCTGTGTCTGATGTGTTGGTGCCTTCTCAGCCCTAATGAGCCTCACTTTGTACAGTGAATTTGCTGAGACATCAAAAAGTATTTAAAAGAAAGTTTCCTGCTTTTTTCCTAATGAGCAAGGTGAGGATTTATAGTGTGTGGGGAGGGACACTGGCTGTGAGGGCTGACACAGAGTGAGTCTATTTAACATACGGTAGCTTAAGCTCCTGGCTGCATTTGGGGGGTTCGGAGCGCTGGGTTGTGGGAGTATAGAGACATGCAGTTAGGGAGTGAAAAAACGCCATTTGGTTCGGAGCAGATGGCTGGCTAGGGGGCTGATGGCGTCTAAAGGCGTGTCATCCCCTTCAGCCCGAGTCCCCAAGGGCTCCCCTTGTCTTCCCAATCAATGAAAATTAAAGTGCAAAGAAAGGGTGAATAGTTGGACCTCGAGTCTCTCCTTTGTTCATCTCAGCCACTGGTGTGCAGGAGTTAAACTACAACAGGCTCCCATAGAAACACCAAGTTAAACAGTCTCCTCAGCTCAGCTTCCAAAGGCAGGGGGAGCCCACGTGGAGTGGGAGGAGGAGGAGGAGGAGGAGAGAAGGGGAAGAAGAAAGGAGGAAAGAAGAGCAGGCGAGGAGGAAGGAGAAAGACCCGTTCTGCTTGATTTCCCCGATACAGAATCGTGTGGCATAAATTAAGTGGGAAAAGAATGAACGCTTTGGGCAGGATTCTGATGGATTTTACGATGCCTTTCAGTTCCGCTTTGCTGCTGTAATCGAGAAATCTGTGCCGTGTCAATTTAACAAATACTTGGTGCTGAGGGGGGTTTGTTAAAGATTTGGGGCAAGCCCCCCCCCCAGGTTTAAGCCCTGGGGGTGGGACATATTTCCAGTTTTCTAAACTGCATTCAAACGAGCCTGTTTCCTATTCCATTTTCTAATTAAAAGGTTCCTGAACTTCATTTCTGACTGCGTCTACTCCCAGCCTCTGAAGCACAGAGCACTCAGAGTCCACACTCCTCTCTCCCTCTTGTCTCTCTTGCTCC